AGTGCCGCCTGACTCCGGAGGTTGTTTTTAATTTGTGCTCCCCCCCCGCTCCCGACAAGGCTCCCCAGGGCAGCCCTGTCTCGCTTGAGGGGCCTGGCGTGCGGGAGGTGCTGCCCTCCGGGCCTGCGCGGCTCTGCCCAGCCCTCCCGGGCAGCCTGCTGCTCCGCTCCTCTCCCGCGCGATATTGCACGGTCGCTAGGGGCTTGTCCTTTAAAATGTGTCTTCATGAACAGCACTCTGCCTTATTTTTTGTAGGACAAAATCTAAAAGTGTTCTTTTGCCGTGCTTCTGCTTGATCTAGGTCCTCTTCATTAAGGCCAGAGCAAGCTGATGAAAAGCATCAAACACGCGTATAATTAGTGCTTGAAAGGGCTTTATGTGAGCTTTACTGTGTGAACCGTGCAGTAGGTATGTGGCGTGGGCACCGAACCGGGAGAGCTTCCAAGTGAATTGTGTGGTTGACATGATTATTCCTTTACTCAGTAATGCAATGCTTCATTGTTAAGCCCTGAAGTTTGGAGTCAGAAGAAGAGCGCATCTCTGAGGTTCTCTGTGCAGGTGATACTTGAGTTGTGAATTTTGCTTCAGGCTCTTGTTAAGAAGGTGACTAAGGGTTTAGGAAAGCAATATTTCAGGTGTGTTTAATGGGGTAACAGAAAGCTTGCATTGAAATTGGAATAGTTACTAATAGGAGTACAATTTTAATGGGAGTCTTGATCCAGAAATGTTAGCGTGTGTTAAGTGATGAGGAAATAGCTCTGAACACGAGAGGTTGTTACTGCCAACATAGCTGTCTGTCAGACCACAGTGTATCTGTTTAGGGGAATAGTCCTAAGCAGGCACTTGTTTAAATTGCTCTGTAGAAAGGCAAAACTTGGTGGCAGTTGTTGGCTATTAGGGGACAAGCATGGATCCCATATGCAACCTACTGAATGCAAGCCTTTCTTATCTGGCCAGTTCCCAGTTTTGGTAACAGGATAATTACCCTGTTTCTGCACTGTCTGGTAGGATTAATGATAAACTCTGCGTGTGTGTGGGTCTTGCACAAAATCCCAGGTGCTGCCAGCTGCAGGCAGTTTTTTTTACGAGTGCTCAGCAGATTAAGCAGAGTTTTTAAATCTAGTATGCTGAGCTCTGCAAAGTAGCTGGGCTGTTTGGCTACTTAGGAGCCTAAAACAAAGCTCGACACCGTGAATATTCTCAAGCTAGGATTTCTTTTCTGGGCCTCTTAGAAAAGAGGCCTGCTTTCTCAGTAGGACTGACAAATCGTGTGAAACCCTTGGAAATATTCAAAATTTGACTGGGCAAGGTGCTGAGCAACCTGATTAAGTTGTCCTTGCTTTCAGCAGGTGCAGGTGGGGTTGGACTAAATGACATCAGAGGTTTCATGTGACCTAAATATTTCCAATTCTGATGCTTCCTGAATGAGAGCCTTTTTATCTTGGCAAAATTCTTACCAGTGTTGTAACTCTTCCTCGCAAGAATTTGCACTACTTCTGCAAAGCAAAACCAACACAAATAACTGGAGTACGCTCCCGTGGTCTAACCTTAATGCGGTGAATCTCCTGTCCTGCCTCTTTCCTCTTCTTGTAAGTGATCAAGAACCTCCTCTTGAGGTTGGTTTGTTACTTGCTTTAGAAACCTTGTCATGAAGTATTGATACATGGAAAGATGTAGACATCTTGCTCAAATCTAAGCCAGAAGTCTGACCATATTTTAAAATGTCCCTGCTGAAAGATAGGGTGGTAATTAGCACTTATGATAGTTGAAATATTGAATAACATCAGCTTCCTGCCACCTGTGTATCTTTTTGCATCCTTCACTTAGGATTTCTGCCTAACCAAGTTGGCAAAGGGGCGCAATTAGACTTCTCAGATTACTTCTGAAAACAAACACTTTTGTTGAAATGTATTGTGTGGAGATTTCTGCAGAAAAGAAATACGTATTTTGAGTCTGAGAGTGGCATGTTATTCCTGCAGCTGGGCTGATCTCCTTTGAGATGTCCGTCCTTTGGCACGTAGGCGTCCTTTTTCTTAATGTGTCGGGGAGCGGTGAGAGCCTGCTGCTCCCCAAGGGGCCAGGAGCTGGCAGCCCGGGGGGGTAGCAGGGCTGTGGGCAGGGGCTTGTCTGTCAGTCCCACGGTACCGCCGTGAGGTGAGCAGGGCAGGCACAGAGATTACGGCCAGGTTCAGCCAAGAGGCCTGGATAATCAGGCAGGCTGGTGGTGATGAGGCAGGTCAAGCCTGGAGGTCAGCCCACAGGTCAGGGTCAGTCCCCTGGTTGCCAGGCAGGCCTGTGGTGATGGGGCCGGGACAAGGCCGGGCAGGGGGGCAGCAGCCCAGGCGTGGGGGTCAGGGTCAGGCCTGGGGAGGGGACGCAGAGTCAGGCACAGAGCCAGGGGGGCCAGGCAGGGCCCTGGGGGTGAGGCTGGGCCAGTGGCCAGGCAGGGCTGTGGTGGAGCTGGAGACCAGCGCTCCTATGGCATCGCCAGGGCACAGATTGATGGCCCTGGGACCGGCAAAAGTAGGTCTCCTGGCCCATGGGCAAGGTCGGGGGAGGCCCTGGGTCAGGCCAGGCAGGGACAGTAAGGCCTGTTAGTATCCTCAGGGCCCTGAGAGTGTGCTGTATTATCACTGCTGCTTCAGTGGAAATAACTGCTAGTTTCCGGTTTGAGTTGAAACATCAAAGCCTGAAAAGGTCCAAAACTAACAACTGTTAGCAAATTCCCCCTGAATGGCAAACTACAACACTCTGTGTGTTTTAGACTCTCTATCTTCCCCTGAGACAAAGTTCAAGAAAAATACTGGGGTGTTTGGGGTTTGTTTTTTGGTGTTGGGTTTTTTTTTTTTTTTTGGAAGGGGGGATTACCAAATCTTCACATTATGGGATGATGATATTTAACAAAAGAAGTATTTGGGCAAAGCAAAAGAAAGCTATAATGCCTGTTCCACAGAGAGAATTAGGTGTTGCCTAGTAAGTTGTTCTCCATTCCCACTGACTTCTGATTTAGATGGGACTATAAACTGTTGTCCTGTTTTCTTTGATGTAGCTAACATACAAGGAGCAAGGGGTCTGGGGAAAAGGGCATAACTTGCTGAGGTCCAGTACAGGCAATGTTACAATAGTAGCAATTTCTCCTCTAATTAAGAAAGGCAACTAGTTACAGAACTCTATTTTCAGAGGCTTTTAAGAACGTGGCAAAACAGGCTTTTCCCTGTTGCGTCTCACATGTAAGTAGTAAGCCATGTATTATACAATATTTCTTAAAAGTAAGTTCCCAGTTAGCAAGAAATTCAATGGATTACTTTGACATAAGTATTTTGATTATGTTTTGCTGAAAATAAGATCTTAAGGAATTGGGAAGGATTTTTCCCTTCCTACCCTCCTTCCCCAGATTTCTTGTAGTCCGAAGGCCATACAATAGATTTTAATAACTTTTATTTGTGTTTGTCTTCTGTAGAGCCATGAGAATTACTGAGAACCAGCTGGAGTAATACCATGAATATTTTCTTTCATACAGGATATCATGGCAGCCCATCAGGAGAAAAAACCTTCTGAAGAAAGAAAACACAAAAGCACCCAAAATGATACTCGAACATCTCAAGTCCAGTGGGGAAGAGCATGGTGAGAAAGGCTGGCGACCCTAACTAGTCATTGCATTTCAAATTGGTTCATATTAGATGCTACATTCCTTTTGAACTTCGCTCCATTAATAACAAGATTGTTGCATTGCCCTTCTCGTGAAAGCTCATGGATAATGAGCTGTAGTAACAGATGCCAAAGAAGAGTTCTTCAAGATTTTTAAGATGGAGAGCTTGCCAGATAGGTTGGGTTAAAACACAGTCCTCTGTGCAAAAAAGGAAAGCAAATCATAAAAATCAGTAAAATTTCTAGTTCCTTCAAGGGCTGAACAAAGTATTTCCTGAGATTTGGAAAACAGGCATCCATCTGAGGTATTGCCAGCTGACATCTCCTGCTGTAGCAAGATTTATGATTCATATCCCTGTTCTCAAAGAGCTGTGCAAGTATTAGTGGAGTGTTGTATTGCAGCTGGAAACAGCCGTGGCTGTTCATGTGGCTTGCCACTACAGTGTGCGGTAGAGCGAGTTCAACTACTGGCTGTCCCAGGTCTGTCTTTTCGGTGTTTCCAAGCTTTGCATAACATTCTTGTAATTCTGTTACCAATTCCAACTGAATACTCTACCAGGTATACACGTTTGCCATCAAAAACATGAAGACTGTTATAATAATCTGCTTCTTGGTGGGGAGATACTATCTATTTTGTTGCTCTGATCAGCTAACATAGCTTTATAACAGTTTGTGGTAAACTATGTAACATGTTAAGGTTGGTTTTTTGGTTTTTTTTTTACAGTTATTTGACCCAAAGAAATGTATACACCCTGAAAACATTTTCAGTTTTCATCCAATTAGTTTAGAAGGTCCACTGAAAAAATTTGCCTGACTTAATCAAACCACTGTTCTAACTGAAAGATGGAAAAAAAAAAAATGCTTTGTTTTGGATTACAGGGAGGTGGACTGGTTTTCCTTGGCGAGCATCCTTTTCCTGCTCATGTTTGCACCGCTTATCGTATATTACTTCATAATGTCCTGTGACCAGTACCAGTGCTCTCTGACTGATCCACTCATTGACTTGCTTACGGGGAGTAAACATCTGTCTGACATCTGGAACAAGACTCCTACACTGACCTACAGGGCTGCTGGCATCTATACCCTTTGGGTCGCTTTCCAGGTATATTATTGAGTTATGATCTAGATGTAGTGGCTAGTTTTTCAAACAGCTGTTTGATTAATCCTTCTACATGAAGGATAATGGAATGTCGCACTGGTATTTACTCTTTGGTGTTTCTCACTTTCCGTGGCTTTTTGGAATCCAAATGAAGCTTATGCACTTGAAAAATAAATATGTAGGGAATATACATACATATTCCTTGTGTGACATACTCCTTCATGTGGTTTTTAAGAAAAAGCAACTATATAACAACAATCCACATTTGTGTTAAATTAATGCACAATAAATGTATCGTAAACTAACACTGCAGAAGGGGTGATATTTTCTATAGACAGACAGTAAAAGAACATTGATGTATGAAATAGAACTTACACTTGTAAAATGTCTTCAAACTTAACAAACTACTCAGTTTTTTTCCAAATTGGAAAACAACTTGTAACACAGATTAACTTCAAAATAAAAGGATAAGGACCTGAATCTAGTTACCAACTGTCCTGCCTCCCCGCCAAAAAAGGGGGACAACCATACAGGAAGTATGTCTTTAGAATTATTTAACAGCTTGGATGTATTACTAGTCTAAAATCGCTACGGCTAAATCTTGCCATATTTGCTTATCCAATACTTCATTGAAACTGCTGTGTGTTATATTTGGTATGTGTATGAAAGGGGTAGTGTTTTGGGGGGTTTTATCTTGTCTGGTTTTGCTGTTGATACATTCTTTCTTCTAGGTGTTTTTGTATGTGTGTATTCCTGACTTCTGCCATAAATTTCTTCCTGGATATGTAGGAGGTGTACAAGAAGGTGCCGTCACCCCTGCTGGTAAGTTCTTCCTTAGAATATATGCACACCATACATCCTTAGAATATATGCACACCATACAACCTCTTAAAACAATAGTATTTCTGTACTTGCAATCTTTAATAACCCATATGTATTTGGAGAAAATGTGTACATAAACTCTTTCACCTTCCTCATATGTTGACTTCAAACAAAAATAAAAGCAATCTACATCTTTTAGAATAAATGATAGAATTTCTACCTCTTACTGTTAGTAAAACCATTGATATGGCAGGCACCACACCGACTGGAAGAATACAGATTGGTAATTTTGGCACTTCAGAATCAGCAGTGCACTATTGCTAGTATTTGTCAATGCAGCTGCACCTGCTGAAGCTAAGTTAATCTATGAGACTTGAACAAAACGCGTGATGTGAACTAGGTATGACAAAGGGTAACTTGTTACCTTAGTCAGTTTTAGGGGAGACTCCAAATTCACTGTTTTGGGAAGCGAGAGTGAAGAGAAAAACTCAGCCTAAGAAAGCCTGATGGTTACAGCAGAGTCCAATGAAACTTTCAGGAAAGTGCCACAAGATACTTAATTGCGAGAGTGAGGAGGGTGAGGTAGTTTCATGAGCACTTGATTGAGCTTCTATGTATTGTATACATATCCATGTTAATAAAAAGCTGTACTAATGCAATGTCAGTAACATCCAATTCTTTCTTCATATTTTAGGTGTAGTGAATATGTATGAAATCAATGGACTTCAGGCATGGATCATTACCCATGTGCTTTGGTTTGCAAATGCCTATTACTTCCACTGGTTCTCACCCACCATCATTTTTGACAACTGGATTCCTCTCCTGTGGTGTGCCAATGCCCTGGGATATGCAGTTTCCACATTTGCAATGATTAAAAGCTACTTTTTCCCTACCAATGCCAAAGACTGGTATGTGTTTTTTAATGAGGGAATACTAGGTAATCAGGCATATAAATTGAATGCTGCACAGAATAATAATGACAAAATATATTTTATTGGCACAGATAGGCCAGTGTACGACTGTAGTTCTTTGCTTCACTAGTACTGTCAGCTGTTTCATGCTACGTGTCATGTGACTGGCAGCCTCAGTGTCACAGAAACTTATTTGTCACAAATAGGACGGATGTAAGGTTATAGTTAGACTGGTCAAAAATTTTACCAAGAATAAGCTAGGGTACCTCCGAAGCTAAAATTTATCTCTACTAATGTAATGCTTTGGTTGGATCAATTTGTGTTTATCTTGCACAACATTATATGGTTTTATGACTTTTATTATCATAACATCAAGTGAACCTGAACTGTGTAGTCAGAATAGTAATTACCTGTATTTGTGTATAACTGTGTAAATTTCTAATTTTTTATGCTTTCTAGCAAATTCACTGGCAACTGCTTTTATGACTACATGATGGGGATTGAATTTAACCCTCGAATAGGAAAGTGGTTTGATTTCAAGCTGTTCTTCAATGGGCGCCCTGGTATTGTAGCCTGGACTCTAATTAACCTTTCCTATGCTGCTAAACAACAGGAGCTGTATGGTCAAGTAACCAACTCCATGATCCTTGTCAATGTCCTTCAGGTAAATTTGGAGGAGGAAAATAAGAAAGCAATTTGGAAATAAACTAGTATTAAATTAGAAAAAAACTATTTGCATTCAAATTGAACTTAGATAATTTTTCCTGGCCTGAACAACCGCATTCAGTGATGGTGTACTGGGACTTGCTTCTTTGGACACTTGTACTAATTTTTTTGGCTGCTTGCATTCATTCAGAGTGCCACTGTGAATACTCTGCTGTATTCATTCAGAGTGCCGCCAGTGGCATGCTCATGTCTGCACCAGCAGATTTCAGCGTAAACTTAAATTAAGAGGTATTTTTCTGAGCCTATGTTCTGGAAACAGGCATAGCCTGATCTTGAATCCAAAGAGAACAATGACAAATTCCATGGCTTTAGCTGGAGCAAGATTGGGCAGGTTTTTTTCCGAGGGCAGCACTGCACCTAACTTTTTTTGTGTGTGCGACATGCAGAACTACAGATGTCTCCACACCTACAAAGAGCCAGTCAGGTGCTGTGCTTTCTACTGAAGAGACCCCAAAGTAATAAGTAGAATCACAGAATCATAGAATCGTTTAGGTTGGAAAAGACCTTCAAGATCATCCAGTCCAACCAGTAACCTACACTACCAAGTCTACTTTAAGCCAATCAAGGGTAGACTAGACTAAACCATGTCCCCAGGTGCCACATCTACCCATTTTTTGAACACTTCCAGGGATGGGGACTCCACCACCTCTCTGGGCAGCCTGTTCCAATGCTTGACCACCCTTTCCATAAAGAAATTTTTCCTAATATCCAATCTAAACCTCCCCTGGCGCAGCTTGAGCCCATTTCCTCTCGTCCTATCGCTAACTACTTGGGAGAAGAGACCAACACCCACCTCACTACAACCTCCTTTCAGGTAGTTGTAGAGAGCGATACGGACAATTTATTGATATGTGCAAGTGGAAGCCCACTCGATAGAAGCTCTATTCCCCCTCTCTATAAGCATAAGACTCTTTAAGCTGAAGAGAGGTAGGGGTGGTCAAATGCGAGTATGCTTCCTAAGTGTATGTCCTTATGGTAGCATGCTTTCCTCAGTTGTCTTGGTTGATATCGCTTTGCATTACTTATTATTGCTTTAGCTGTGTAGATGCAGTATATTTGTGTGGTATGTTCCTCTTGATACCCTATTTTTGAGGTGTTAAAATAAAAACACAAGTCAGTTTTGAGATCTTATCACAAGGCAGCACAGAAAGATTAGGTGGATGCCGTTACACAGGATAACTGGTGACAGTGCTCTGTTATTAAAGTGAAACTCTTCTGTTTCAGGGTATTTATGTTTTGGACTTCTTCTGGAATGAAGCCTGGTATTTGAAAACAATTGATATCTGCCATGATCATTTTGGATGGTATTTGGGCTGGGGAGATTGTGTTTGGTTGCCTTACCTCTATACTTTGCAGGTAAAAATGTGGTACAATACATGTATGGGCTAAAAGGAAAGAAACTTTGCAGAACATTTTCCCCAGCAGTTTCACTCGTATCTTGAATTTTTTCTAGACAGTTTGAATACTGAGTAACCATTACAACATCCTTTGTAACAATTCCCTTGTAGGAAGGTTTACTGTCCCTGCCTGGAATTGACGTGTTTTCCTCTTCTCCCCTTCTTTTGTGCCCTTTTCTGTTACTGTCTATTGTGTCTGTATATTTTTCTAAATCCTTTTAGTCTTTTTTTTTTTTTACTCCATGTTGAGGGTTTTTTGGTGGGTGGTGGTTTGGTTGGGTTGTCTGGGTTATTTTTTTCCTTCTGTCCTGGTTTGTCTGCATCCTTGGAACTTCTCTTTTTTTGTTCCACCTAAGGAATACGATTTGGGGGGGAGGGGGGGGGAGCATGCAACAGAAAATGAAAATGTAGGATGCAGAGTTTTCTGAAAATTTTTCACGGTTTTACTGGTAGGGTGGATTTTCCTATTCTTTCTGCTCATCTGTTCTGGGTCTCTATAGGTCAAGGAATCAGTCTGGCATCCTGAGCATATATTTAAAGTAAATAACTGTCTCGGGTTTTTTTCTGCTCCCCAGGGTTTGTATTTGGTTTACCACCCTGTCCAGCTGGGCACAGCTAATGCCATAGGGATCTTGATGTTGGGCTTGATTGGCTATTATGTCTTCAGAATGACGAACCACCAGAAGGACCTCTTCCGTCGTACAAATGGCAACTGCAAGATATGGGGGAGGAAGCCAGCGTATATCGAGTGCTCCTACATGTCTGCGGATGGGACCAAGTACTACAGCAAACTGATGACCTCAGGATTCTGGGGGTGGGCACGCCATTTTAACTACACAGGAGATTTGATGGGCTCCTTGGCCTATTGCCTGACGTGTGGGTTTGAACACATCTTGCCTTACTTCTACATCATTTATATGACTATTCTGCTAACCCACCGTTGCATTAGGGATGAACACCGTTGTTTCAGCAAATACGGGAAGGACTGGAAGCGCTACACTGCTGCAGTGCCTTACCGGCTCATACCAGGAATATTTTGAGGCTAACGCAGAATCCAGGGGACAGAAAAAAGAAATTTTTTTGGGGAGGTGAATAGAGTTTATCCACATAGTTAAAATAACAAAAACACTTTGTGAGGGACACTCATATGGTTCTGAAGAAGACAAGGTGGCGGGACAGTAATTCTTGCTGTACTGAAGCAACATGCAGGCAGACTGTATTTAAAGTAAATGAAATGAGGCACTGAAACGGCCAGTTTTTCTAGAAGACTCTTACCTGGAACTTCTCCCCCTCACCCCTCAAAACTAACTTGGAATTGAAGAAAAGTTGCATGTATTGGGACTCCTGAAATCTCTCAAAGATGGGACAAAGCCTTACCCTTCAGAGTAGCAGGGTTCTGGAACCAGTTCCAGTGACTTAGGAGAGGAGGAAAATAATTGTGTGAGCTCTTCGTGAAACAAATTGTATGACATGGTTCCTTGTGACAGTCATAACCTACAGTCAGTAACTCTCCAAAGGAGGTTTTACTGTTTGTTGCTTTTCAACTGGGGAAATACTGAACTGGGGAACCTGATCCTGAACTGGTGTGTGGGAAGATTTTTATAATCTAATGCAAATATTTGTGAAAGCTGTATAAATTGGTATAGCCCAAAAGTTAAATTAGGTGACAGCACCTGAGAATATGGTGCATGACCAACTGGGCATTATTTTGACACTGAAACCAAACTTGCTTTGTGGAGATACTGAGCGTATGTTGATTTCTTTAGTGTGGATAGAAAGCTTCATTCTTTATCATTGGTATAAAATCTTATTTGTAAAAAATTTAAGAAATAAATGCTTGGTTCCAAGACAAGTAAAAAATACTGCTGATTTTCTGTTCACTATTTCTTTTCTTGTTATGTAGCTACCTGACACAGTTACCAGATTCAAACAGTGTGATTCCAAGAGCTGGTTCAAGAATGCATAAAAGAGAAACAAAGAAGGACCGTAGTATTAACCATGTGTCTCGTAATAAGTTTGCTAGTTATGTTTAAGCTAAAAGACTCTTTTTTTTTTTTTTTTTTTACACATAAATACACAGTTTTTGCAGTAAGTAGGTAACTGTGTAAATTGGTTTCTTGTAGGAGCTGCCGAATGCACTGATCTTCATGGCAAGTTTGAATGAGGTGTGTTGGTGAGTACGTGTTTTCAGTTTTGTTGTCGTACTCCCTGAAGATAGTTTTGGCAGGAGAAAAAGGTTCTCTCCAAACCTAGAAAACAAATGTATCGTGTAGTTTGGCTTTGTTTCAGAGCTGGATATACAAGCATGTATAGAGATGCCTTCTTAGAGAAGGTTCTTCTAAACCTGATTGTAGCACCAGCACTATCTGTAGACCTCAACTATTTTACCACCATTTTGCAGATAACAATTTCAGTACATTACGGTGTTGTTAATAACAGTGTTTTCATGGGGCTGGGAGTAGCCGTATCTGACAATTTCTGCTCTCAAATCCCAAAGCATTCCCACGGAATAAAAAGCTCTCTGTTAGCATGTCCAGTAACCAAATGGCTGGTTACAAACTTCATAATGTCTTTATATTGCTTAAAATCCGTGTATTTAAGCACACTGAACTGATGATGCAATTGGCAGTACTAGACTTCATAGAAGTATTCATAGTGTCAGTCACACTGAAGGTCACAGGTCAATCTGTCTGTGTGACAGTTCTACACTGATCTTTATCATGTAGGTAGTGTCCCAAAGCTTGTGTGTTGCTTTAAGGATTGTTGGCATTTTGGATAATTAATACAGTTGGGTAAGAGTTCATATAAATCCTGGACATCAAAGGTCCAGGCTCACCTGTAGCTCACATTCCTACAGCTCCCAATTTCATTTGAACTTCCAGTTTGGAGGGGGCAACACCATTTTCTTGTCTGTTGGAAGTAAAAAGCAGAATCCCTTCTGTGTGGCACCCAGTACAAAATGCTGCAGCTATGTGTCTGGAAACAGCTGTTCGTAGGAAGTGGGCTGTCTCAATTTAATGATGCTTTTAAACATGTTTGTATCTGTAAACTTGTTTAGCTGCAGTAGCCAATTCAAAATGGTGCCGTGGGAGGAGGACTGATGGTCATAATAATGGAACGCTCACTGGCAATAGATGTATTGCTGTGGTAGAACAGTTGAACTTTGCACTCCTGCGAATGAAGAGAACTTTTAATACAAATACTGAAAGGTGGGCGGGGAGGTGGGAAATCAATGCCAATTGCCTTTATTTAAAATATATAGCCCAATTCCTTAACAGTTCACCAAGGGGTAATGCTTATAAAATGGTTGATTTGAAAGAAGTCTGTTCAGAGGAAGGGAAAACTGAGGTGTGGGCTTTTAGGGCTGTTGGACTCCATCAGTTGCTGGCACTGCATTGCTTGAGGCTCCCCCTGACTTTGCTGGAGTAATTGGATAGTTTCTTTTCTCAGCTTCCCCAAGGCCCCATACTTGCATCCTTTTCTTATGTAGCCTTGGAAATTGTACTGACAGCTTGCTGTTAATGCCAAGGTTATTTGAATATTGCAAGATAATCTGGACTCTAAGTCATGGTAGCCTTGCACGGCACAGTGTGCTCCCTTCTTTTCACTGATAAATTGTGGATGATTAGTGGAAGAAACTGCCCATTTAAGACCAATACAAAAATTTGAAGTGAAAGGGCAGTATTGTGAGTAACGAGAGCATTATGCATTCAAATGCTTCTTTTAGGCAACTTCTGTTACATCTAATATTACTCAAAGGATTGTCTGTGCTGTCTGACACTGGAGCATGGAAGCACTTTTATCTGTTTCTTTGATGCAGACTGCTACTCCTGCTGAGAGCACTTTACCCTGCGGCAAGTGAGAACTCCCTCGGCCAGATTGTTAGGAAGCAATTAGTTGCAAGGTTTTTCAAGCAAGAGGCCATCACTGGGCTAAACTCACATCCTATTTGTTGTGAGGATGACAGATTCTGCTTCTTCAGGCTTGCCTGCTGTCCATACAAATCTTCATTTTTGTTCCATCTGTGTGGCGTACAGACTAAGTATATACTGTTTGTATACAGGGGGCTGCACCTGCCTGGAAAAGAAAGCGCTAATTCCGTTCACGTTTGTACTTCTTAAATATTTTTCATGCTTCTCCAAAAATCATTTATTTGTATCTATTCTGTAAGCTTAATCCTAACATAAGCAATGTGTAAGCAGTACGCTAAGCCGTGTCCAACTGATGTCACCCTTTAAAACTGAACCATTTAAAAGGCTGTCAACTTGCTCATCTTCAGACAGGGTGATGCCTGGGTCATATTTTGTGTTGTACGTGCGGTAGTGCTTTTTAAATTTATTTCTTCCAGAATGCAAAAAAAAAGAATATATTTTGCTTTGGAAGTTTTGTGGAGGTGTGTACTAGATTAACTTTTGCTCTGATATTTCATATTTATTGACACTATGCTGTCAATGTTGCCTATCAAGTTTTGAGAGCGCATGTCTCTGTAGTATGTTGGGAATTTCAGATATCAAAATGCCAATATTTGTAAAATGGTACTTATTTAACTTGGGTTATAAGTAATGGGAATATACAGCAAAAGCTTCTGGTAGTTACTTGGAGCAGTAATGAAGTTGTTTGGCTGGATTATCGTAAGAAGAGAAGTAACAAATGCCTATTTGAGCAGGGCACAACAGGCTGAGCAAGTTCCAGAAGGCCATTGCCATAGATCTACCTGAGAAAAACAAATAAATCGCAGTCCTCTAGTGTAAAACTGTTATAGACTGTCAGTATGCAGTCTACAGATGGAGGGGAGTGGGGAGAGGGGAACTTCCAATACCGGGAGGGAGGGAGGGAGGGAGGATGCCTTCCACATCTAAAAGCTGTCACTAGATGGCATCGCGATACGATAGCATTTCTGAGCTCAGGGCTCCGCCGTTCAGCCTGAGGACGGTTAATCATTCATCGCTCCTGCTGCAAAGCTACGGTTCAGTTTATTCCCAGCCAGCCTGCAAGAATGCTGACACAATTCAGTGGTGGACTGGAGCATACATAATGCATTTAGGCTTCAAACACCTTCACAAATATGTAAACTCCCTTTTTAAAATCTCCATCTCTGAGCAACGTGGTGACTAGTCCGAAGAGCTGTGCTTAGGATATAATGAAATGGGATTGCTCAGGTCCAGTTTTAGTCAGGCAATATGAATGATAACAGAAGTACAAGCTGTTGCCCCATGGTGGCAGCCACAAAATCTTTTCTGCTGTAAATTACCGGTCTAAGTTCTGATCATGTGCTAACCTTAACCTAGAGCTGCACTGTGTTATTTATTTTAAATAATGCGCTATCTTTGTTGAAGGTTAAAAGTGATGTGCAGTTCAAAATAAAACTGTAATAGCATATTTTTCTGCTTCAATTTAATTTCAAAAAAAGCCTAAATGTGTGTGTCAAATCAAAAGGGGGGAAAAAAGCTTTTTTTTTTTTTTTTTTTTTATTTTTAGATTACGGATACGGATCTACTTTATGGCAACTGGATAGGTAATGAAACTACTATTTTTTTAATTATGCTATTCAAACCTTTTTTTTAATCTTTTCCCTTAAGTAATAAATTTGCAATTCAAGGTAACTTTAAATTTATATTTCATCATCTTAACATAGGATAAATAAAAAAAAACCTAATAGGTATATTTTGCAACAGCCATGTCTCTATGTATTGTAGAAGTATCAGAGAATGGTTACAGGAATAAATGATAGGAAAGCTCTTCTGAGTGGAGGAAATGAAAACTGGAAAGAGATTAGTTCAGAAGGGAAAAATATAAAAGGGAAAAAATCCACCACGCTTTTGCAAAAATTGAAAATAACAAATATCTTTTGTGTGATTACAGCATGGAGCTTGTAGCTACTGGAATTTATGAATTTTATTTTTTTAATTGTAAGTATTTATCTGGACAATCCAGATAAATATGGTTTATAATCCAGATTATGAACTAATAACAAAAGACTTGCAAGAGTTACTAAGCTTAGTCAAGTTAAAGGTTTTGACAAAGTGTTTAAACATTTTTTTTCCAGTTCAAGAGAGTTACGGAAGAGTTGATTAATTCATAGTTGGCTACTGCAGGTGTTAACTTCTGAAACCTCTTTTTTTTAAG